AATTGAATTGAATTGAATTGAATTGAATTGAATTGAATTGAAATCAACATCTCTTTCAAAAATCTTGTTTTTCCTCTTAAATCCTCAGATCTCGTTATCATATTGTAAGTCAAATGGGCTTTAGAAACAAAAACAAGAAATGACACAAAGCAAAACGCACATCGCATTTTCATTCTAACTACTCCAGCAAATGTATAAATTTCAGATAGTAGTTAGCCAACCTGATATCACCTTGTGCAGTAGCAGCAAAATTTAATGCATATACTTTTACTTCAAAAATTCTGCTGAAGAATGGAAATAGGAGGTAGTTCACATAGCACAACCTCCATGTTCAACCCCCACTCCATCACACCCACCACCACATCTACTACTCCTCCTTTCTCTCTGTGATCTCATAGGGCTTGCTTCACCTCAGTCAAGCTCCAGTGCTTCCAGCCGGCAGCAGCACCAAGCTAACAAGTATTTGTGAGGAGAGAGAAAGAAAGAGAGAGAGGGTGAAAGGGAGGGAGAGAGAGGAAAGGGGTGAGCAGAAGCAGAAGAGAATCAGGCAGTGAGGGACCTCAGAGTATGAGCATATAGAATGAATGCGGAAAGAAAGAAGGCATAAGATAGCGATAGAAACAGAGGTGCTCAGTGCTGCACAATAGTGCCAGAAGCTGCTTTAAAAAAAGAAAGAGAGAGAGCTGGCATCATGGCAACGCTCACTGCATCATCACGACACATGGGGATGTTTGGCTGCTGCTGGTGAATACTGTGTGATGCAGAGGAGAGAGTCAAATAGGACTTCCTGGAAACCAAAGGCAAGCTAAGGAAACAGGTCAGTGACAGTCATAGAGACTCACAAAAAGCCTTTATAGTATCAAACAACACGGGCTCTGTGAGCTTTCACATTACAGGATAATGCTGATTTACATTTGTCAATAAGAATTCCCATGCCAGGGACTGGAATGTGGACATGTATGGAGAGTGGGAGGATGCGCTTACATGCAGATGTTTGAGCAGGCTTTTAGATGTGTGTGTGTGTGTGTGTGTATACTCTGTCAGATCTCAACGACAGATGTTAAGGTGAAAGAAAAACCTTCTGTGGCATCAAATATACAGAAACATGTCACGGTGTCTTCTATTACAAATCTTTGATTTCATTGTTCTTTCTGAAAGTAAGAGGACAGAAGCATACGTGGGAGCCTGGAGATGGAAATTGGAACATTTTATGATACTAAGAGGGAAGAGAATGGTGGGGAATGAGGGAGTACAGGAGAAGTCACAGAAAACAAAAACTGAATAGCAGCAGGTTGTAAGGGAAGGGAGACAATGCCTGTCAGCAAGGGAAAGCTTGGCCTAGCATTAAGCTATGTCGTATATGATGGAATCCAGCATCAGTCCAAGCAGTCAGCTCAACAATCTTTATGAATTTCAAATGTAACCATCAACTGTCAAAAGACACCCCTCTCCTGATTAGCTGTGCTTCCAGTATGTGGGGGAGAACTCATAGTGTGTAAAATAACCTCTTATCTCCCTCAAGAGTTGGTGTACTTTCAATTTCCGATAGAATCAACCAGTATGAAAAGAAATATCAGTTCATTAAAATTTTAATGAGCTCAACACATCATCTGTGAAAAATTCTCCCCATTTTTGAGGTATCACAGAATTTGGCAAGGTCACTGGAAAACACCCAGTGGTGGGGAGACAGTTTCTGCGTAAGGCAGCCAAATAACTAGACTGGATTTCTTGAAAAAAAATATTTAATGACCCCAGCTTAGCAGGTTTAAAATGTAGGTTTTACATTGGTGAAATCTAAAATCGTTGTTCCTTGCTTTGTTTATTTACATGTTCAGTACAACATTTTGTATTATGTTCTTTATAATTAAGCAGTACTGTGTCCATTTCATAGTGTCAAAGATAACACAGATCCAAGACATCTGTCACTGTCAATGAATGGAAAAGACGGGGATTTATATCACCCTTTTCTGGTTTTATACTTCAATGTGCATTTACCTTTTTAACTCATATTCATGCAGTACTTTTAATGTATATAATGTAATGCATGCCCACACCTACAGCCAAATAGAGCAAGGCACTATTTATGCAACGCATAACTAATGCACTACCATGCTGCCTAATATCTCACTGGACAAGAAGTTCTCGTCTTCTTGGTTTGTTGAGGAAAGTATTCTTTTGTCCAAAATAAGTCAAACATGAATGAATGGTGCTACCTGACCTGGTTTGAACATGGCCATTGGAAAGAAAGGATTCAACTTGTTAAAACAAAACAAAACAAACAACAACAAAAAAAAAAAACGGCTAAGTGGCTCCAATTTTCCAGCATTATTATGAACATGGTGATGGACCTGTTCTGTATGATGACCTCCGCTTGTCAAGAAAACCTAGCATGCTTGTAAACATAACTCATCAAAGCTTTGTTGAGTTTTTTTGGAGCAACGATAATCCACTTGTACTGAAATACTGAAGTATCATTATGCTCTCTCACTGCTGCCTTTAGTCCCATTAGCCTTCATCACTAAATGCGTGACAGTTGTGGCTCAGTTAATCCAAGCCATCCAAAATGGTAAAATTTAGTAACATAGATCACAGATCATCTCTTTACAGTGAGCTGTAAATTCTAATTAGTTGACATTACTAAAAAGAAACATCCAAGCTGACTGCCTTAAAAACAAGCTGAATAAATGTAAGTTTTTCTATGAGAGGATTTTAATTTTGTAGTTTCAAGTTTAAGTAACAAAATTTAAACTCCACAGAATACTTAGTATTTCATACATATTGCACAGGGGATCCCGATGGCAGAAAACACATTTTGTCTGTTTACAAAGAAGCAATTATAAATAAATAAAGTAAACATAAGAAAGAGATGACCAGTTACTAGCCAACTGTTCATAGTAACTGTATTTGAAAAAACTGTAGGTAGAGAGCGAGGTAAATTTGATCAGTCTAGATGTCATAATCGTTCAATGATGAAGATACATGAAGTCGACTAATTTTGTGCCCTGGCTTTACAAGAAGAAAATAAATAAATTTTATTAAAAAGCAAATATGAGAAGAAATTGTTTTTTTTATCACAATAAATGAGTCACATTTGACATGTAGAACTGCACTGTGAACAAACAGATTATGACATTATGAAACGTTCAAAGTTATAGCACAAATGAGCTCTCAAAGAAATAAAAAACCCTCCATACTTGACAATATATTTATTAGTTACTCACTGGAGAAGGAAAATTCACAGGTTTTTTGTAACAGTCCACCAGTCCTGTCGAAATACTAATAGCAACTTAGGTTTTACAGAAGTTATAGTTTGCAGTTTTTTAATGAAAGGACTCCATGAAAACAAGTTTGCTTGTGTGTTTGAAAATACAAATAATTTCCATGTCCAGTACAAATTAAATTGATGTCTTCTATAAATTTAAATGTGCTTTGCTCAGGTCTAACCAGTTGGAGGAACCACAGGATGAGTGGGATCCTGAAGAGGAAGCTTGATGATGACCCCGCCCCTTATTTGTCAGTGCAAGGGTCCGATGATGATGAGGTATCCTGCAGTGACAGTGGTAACAGCAGTGACAGCCTCAACCATTCTGTCCCCTCCAGCTTGCTGGATGGTAAGACATCACTACCACATAACTTCTGTTTTGTGTTCATTTAACAAAGTGAAATTGCTGTTGTGATCTGCAATTTGCTGACTCCTTTAATCCTCTACTTTAAACCTAATATATGTGGTGACAATTTGATTTATGAGTAAAGAAAACAATGTTTTATCTCAACTGGTTTGTGTCCTCTTTACCATTTTATGTTTAAACTGGGAGTCATATACTTTCATCTGGTGTGGAGTCCCGCAAGGATCAAGTTTGGGACCACTTTTTCTTATGTTCACTCCAGCATATAACCACAAAAGTATAAGTAGTTTTGTTGCTACATCAAGGTTGTCTTACTTAATGTTACAAAAATAGAAAAAGAAACAAAGGGGAATAAAGGCAATTAGTGTGTATAGCCTGGTCAGTATGGCTTTTTCTGTATTTGTTATACTGTTACATTACACTTTAATATGCCCTTGTTTAAAGCCTACAGTCACATAATAAGATATTTAAACTCTGTTTAAAGCTTTAGTCATGGAAACTTGTTGGCAAAAGTTATGCTTTAACTAGCATTTAGTAGCGCCTCTATCAACAAATCTTTTGGAGTTTTTTGGTTTGTTTTTTGATTTAGTAACTGTCAACCCTCTCGGTTTTAATCTTAGCCTCCATCCAGCAGCAGTCAAAGCGACTACGAGGTCATAATGTGCACTTTGAAAGCGTCACAGTCTACTATTTCAACCGGCGGCAGGGTTTTACCAGTGTACCCACACAGGGAGGCAGCACCCTGGGGATGTCACCACATCACAGTGGGGTGAGGCAATTCACTCTCAGGGAGTTTGCCATGGAACAGAAACGGAGCCACCGGAAGATGTTGAGGGACCATCTGAAAGAGGAGAAACTTAATGCCATCAAACTCAAAGTCAGTACAAGGAGTCGATGAATCTTTATTTATCCCAGGGGTTATAATTTCTGTGTGGGCTAATATCCATGGTTCAGTCTTAATTTGTTTGTTTCTATTTGTTTTCCTATCCTCCAGCTGACCAAGAATGGTACTGTGTCATCTTTGGAAGCAGATACACTCACAATCGATGACATTTCTGAAGATGACCTGGATGTGGACAACACAGAGGTGGACGATTACTTTTTCCTCCAGCCTCTGACTACTAGAAGGCGCCGTACTCTTCTCCGTGCCTCTGGTGTCCGTCGCATTGATGTGGAAGAGAAGCATGAATTGCGTGCCCTGCGCATGTCCCGGGAGGAGTGTGGGTGTCGCTGCCAGGGAATATGTGATCCTGAGACCTGTGCTTGCAGCCTGGCCGGCATTAAGTGCCAGGTAAATGGAACTGTGGTGAGGCCCAGCTATAATACTAAAATGTTGTCAATGTCTGTCTGTGCAGTAAAATGTTAAATTTGGCTATTTTCATTGCATAAGTTTGCATACAAGTTTCCACCCATCCATCAGTTTTCCAGTTTAGAGTCCTGGTGTCTATCCCAAAAACCGTGAGAGGCAGGGTACAGACTCTAGAACAAGTCTGTAACCATTTTCAAATTTCACAAGTTACTTATTTAAGCAGTTATTTTTAAGAATTATTTGAAAAACGGTCTCTGGTGCCATTTCATTGCCATTTATACCTGCATTTGTAATGGTGGATTAACAGTTGTTATTCTAAGGAGGGAAACCCTCCAAAAAACGGACGGAGCAGTGGAGCAGCCAAGGGAATAGAACTATATAAAAACTGTATCACTAAAATATAATTAATTTTACAAAAACAGTTAAAATTTTAAAATGAATTAAAACAACCGTGGCCAGGGAGAACACACAATAAAAACTAATAAAACATAAGCATTAAAAGTCCGGTGTCGTCAGCCACAACGTTAAAATCCAGGAAATCGGAGCGGGGCAAGGAAAAGCCCGGCGGCGTCACCAGCCGTCCCGTCTGTCTCTCCACTCCAGAATACTAGAAGAGAGGAGCAGCGACAGTCACCGTTCTTTCTAGTGAGCCGGGTTACTGCAGCACGATATGTCGTGGGACTTACACCGGAAATGGGCATAGCTCCTAACTCGGCCCGCCGCTTTTCTGTGTCACGCCAGCACTGTGGTCTCGCCGTGGGAGGTAGGACGCTGTCTCGCTGCCAACTAATTCCCCACCATAGCGTCCTCTGGCATCCAGCTATTCCAACAGCAGCACAGCTCCCTCTGCCTCTCACGCACTAGCCATCGTATGCCCTTGCCACGTACTGCACACCAACCCACACCAACCTGCACCAACGCCGCCTGCCACCATCTACTCCGCCATCTCTCCTGCTCTGTCTCTCATGCCTCCTCTCTGTGGTCTGCCAGGCCCTCTTATTCACCTCTGTGCCCTCCCAGATGCATCCAATTAGTGATTAGAAGTGGGCGGAGTCTCACCGGGACAAGTTAATATATACAATAAAAACATGCAATAAAACCATAAGAATAAAACACTCCACATAGAAACACAGTAAAACACAGCAAACATGCAAAGCAAAACAACTTCAAAACAAAGTCCTCCCCTGGATGACACATTCTTTCAGATCACTTTCAGCTAGTTGTGTAGAAGTCAAAGTGTAAGAAGTCCCTTGTTCCCTTGGTTCATGTTTTCAGTGAACACTCTTCTGATGAGTTTGTGGTTGCAAGTTGCTGATTTCAAGTCTTACTGAATAGAACTAGATATTTATTTCCTACATGATGTTTTTATTTGTGTCCTGAAGAAAAATAAAGTTATGCTTTAGCAACGGCTAACTCTATGCATCGCTAAAGTATGATTGTGCATTGTCCACCGTTTCACTGTCACATCCACCCCACATTTGTGACATCACATAATAAAAAACTGAGATGATGCTGATCAAAATGCTTTAGGCTACAAAACTGGGACCAGTGGCAGAGAGCTGTCACGTGTCCATCTTTTATGTACAGTCTGTGCATGCTCAGATGGACATTTTAAAGCCCCGTCCTTCTGATTCTTAGAACATCAGGAATGTTATTTTGTGTTATGCATTACTGAATTCATACAAAAAGATCTGGAGCTTTAGGCATGATAGTCTTTTTTTTCCAGACACATAAAAGTAAATCTTGAGTGATTAAAGTGTTCTGGCTTCACAAAGTTTGGCTGCACGCTCTTGTTTAATGATATTAATAACACTCTGAGTAGAATCTGCTGTTTCTCTTCATGCATGATCAGCTTTGATTGGCAGCTCACTTTAATTTGCTTGTGTTCTGCATTGTGTATCACTCTGTCTGTAGGTGGATCGCATGTCCTTCCCTTGTGGCTGCACCAAGGAAGGCTGCAGCAACACCACGGGACGCCTGGAGTTCAACCCGGTCCGGGTGCGCACCCACTTCCTGCACACTATCATGAAGCTGGAGCTGGAGAAGAGCCGCGAGGAGCACTATCAGCAGCCAGAGCAGCTTGTAACCAATGGCAACAGTTACCACGGAGACTCCACCTTGGTCCAGCAGCAGCAGCAGCAGCCAAACCTGCAGTTTCCACTGATGAGCAGCACGCAGCACATTCACATCATGCAGCTTCAGAACACAGGTGACACTGAGTCACATCTGGATGAGGAAGAAGAGGAAGAAGAGGAAGAAGAGGCGGAGGAGGGAGAAGAGGAAGAAGATGACGACGAGGAAGAAGAAGATGAAGCTTATGATGAAGATGGCAGCAGTGTTTGCAGTGGGCTGTCGGACTGCAGCACACACAGCTTGGAAACAATTGACCCTGAGGAGGGAGAAGAAGATGAGGAGGATGAGGAAGATGATGAGGAAGAAGAGGAGGAGGAGGAAGAAGAAGAAGGAGAAGAAGACGATGAGGAGGAAGAGTGGGATTGTTCACTACATGGAACAAATCCTGCACCCTACTCTGTTCCACTTCCTTCTGTGATGAGTTACTCTAACAGCACACTCATGAACCTCAGTAACCTCTTCCACACCACTCCACCCATGCAGCACTATCAAAGAAACAGCTCTGTGAGCGACACGCCTGCTTTCCACAGTGAAAATGTCAGCAGCACACCCACGCTCCCCACAGTAGAGTCTGCATTAGAACTAAACACAGAACTCCACTGCCAAACAGAGCAGCACAGCACTCCTCGCCATTTCTCGGAGTCCCTGCCACTCCAAACTTGCTCACATGTAGAGACGCGTGATGCTAACACTGCCCCTGCTGGTGTACTTGATGAACAACCTCATTCAACAGACCTCCGGAACAATCCAGACTGTCGTGACACTCAGGCTGAGCATCCTGCTGAGTCTGAGGAGCAGACAGGGGAGGAGAGAGCAGAGCCTGCACAGGAGGAAACAGGACCGCAGACACATGGTCAAATGACATCATCAAAGAGTGTCTGAAAAGAGACATCAGTTAACATGTGGAAATATGCGGTCAAGAATTGAAGTTTGCTTTATTCATGATAAACGCACTTTCAAAGACAGAATGAGTCACGTATTTGACACAGAAAAAGACAGATAGATGGTACAGTGCTGTGAACATTTGTCTTCTTTACATTTTTCAGACATCAGTAAATAAACAATAAAGTTTAGAAATTATGATTTCAGTTATTAAGGGAAAAAAGGTATCCAGGTCTCTATTGTCAACAATAAGAAAGACAGTAATGCAAAGATGGCATCTGTGAGATAGTTCCAAAGAGAAAATCATCACTAACCAAAAAGACCTTGGAATTTGCCAATAAACATCTTGGTGAACCACATGATTGGTGATTTTTGGTGAAATACTCTGTGGGCTGACAAGACCAAAGTTGAAATTGTTGGAGGTTTGAGTCCTATTACATAAAAATAACACAGCATGTTATAGAAAGAACATCATACTAACTGACAAACATGGTACTGGTAGAGTGATGGTTTGGGCCTTTTTGCTGCTTCAGGACCTTGACGACTTCTCCAAAAATCCTAAATATCTGGCCATCCGTTTGTGGCCTGAGGCTCACTCGGGTTATACTGCAGGACAAAGATCCAAAACACATCAGTAAAAACTCTGAATGGCTAAATAAAAATCCCCAAATGATGTTTTTGGAGTCGCCGAGGTGCTGAGGAGTGATTGCGGTGCTTTGGTATGAGCTTAAATGCTCAAAAAACCATTCACTTTTGCTGAATTCAAACAATTCTGCAAAGAAAAGCAAGTTTGAATTCCTCCACAGCAATGTGAAAGACTCATTGCCAGTTAGTGCAAATGTGTGAGTGCAGTTCTTGCTGCAGAGGGCAGCACAACCAGTTTTTAGGTTTAGGACGCAATTATTTTTTCACATGGTACCAAGTAAGCTTGAATAGCTTTTTTTAATCCTAATAAATGAAATCATCATTTAAATAATTGAAATTTAATTTACTCAGCTTTTCTCTGTCTAATATTAAAATTTGTTTGATGAACTGAAACATGCAAGTGTGACAAAAATGCAAAGAACAAAAACCCCAGCGGCAACTAAAGAAATCAGGAAGAGAGCAAATACTCTTTTTTTCACAGCACTGTAAAATTTAAGTTCACGTTGTCTCTAAACTGTTCTAGGAACGTCAACTTGGACTAAAGAGTATAAAAATTTAGGAAAAAGTTCATCTTTATCACTCAGTCAATCAATCAATCAGTGTTTCTGTACCTGTAACTATATAGCATACAGTTTATGGCTTGTTGTACAGTCTTTGGTCATTACCGCATGTTGGTCATTCTGGTTGTGACTGGCATCTATGACAAGTCAAAATTAGATTTGGAGGTGCTTGTTTTGTTTTGGGGTTTTTTTGTGTTGTGCCAACATCTTATTGTTGATGGTAATGATTGTTCAATTCTGTCTGTATCGCATGTGATCGGCTTACCGAAGAAGTTTATCATCTGTCAAGTGAGAGACATGAAAGTTAATCTTCCCATGTTAGCATACCTAGAACAACTTGTAGGAGTGTTGGCAGCTTGCGAAAGGGCTGGGTATGGTCACAGGCACAAGCACATGTGACTTTGGACCAGGAAACTGTTTTACATCTCGTGACCGTTCACTTTCAGCTACTGTTTGGTCAGGCTTTTGCAGCTTTAAACATCTATTAGAAAGCTTTGTTCTCTAAATTACCAAGACTAAAGGTGCATATGCACACAACCACTAGTAGTGCATACTAACACAAGGCCATTCCTACCCTGATTGCCAGTATGATCGCTCTGTGCTGTGCCTGGGCATATTTAAGGTGGTACAGCTGTCCTTGAGTGTGGATGCTCTTAAAATTATGGGCGGACTTGCCATAGGCTCCATTGCCTTGTCTGTACAAGGCAATGGAGCCTATGGTAAGTCCGCCCATAATTTTAAGAGCTAAGATCCTAAAAAGCAAAACTATAGGCATGTGTTACATTGCAGGAAGGTCCCCTGCCACAGTTAGGACGATTTTTTTTTTATATTGAACCTTGAATTATTTATTCATTCTGTAGTTCAGCTTAACTTTACAAAGCTTTTTTGTGGTTTTCGTTAGAGATCTCAAGATTACTATAACAGTCAACCCTCACAACTCAAACAGCTACAGCAGGCATTTGTTTTGACTGTACAAAATAGTCAAAGACATGCCAACAGAGAGAAAATGAGCAAACAGCTTATGAGAAGACATGTAACATGGTCCGATATCTTCATTACCACCAACTCTGATTTGTATTTTGTGCTATTTTGCAAATGTTAGCATGCTAAGAAACCAAATGAAGATAACAAACACTACATAGCCTAACTGCTAAACATCAGCATGTTAGCAGTGCTGACATGTTACCATGCTGATCTTAGTATTTTGTTCAAAGCACTGCTATACACTGCTAATATACTGTACATGTCTCACCCCTAAAACTATCACAAAATGTTCACCATTAAGTTAAGCTCTTAAAAGAGCATATATTTAGATTAGAGAATGGTCTGTCTGTGCATTACTTATTAGTTTACAGTGATAATTGTGAACATCAGTGATGAAACTACTTCTGCTTTTTTCCAGTGAGAATAATCAATACTGTCAAAAACTGGGGGCCACGTGTTCTGTATCTTCCTTTTTACACAATGCACATTTTCATGAAAGTGTGAATAAAATCAATTTTAACACCCACTGTAGTTTAAGAGTTCTTTATTAATTGTGCTCTGTCTTTTGTACACTCAAAAAGTTCATAAAATCAAATTTAAATTATGTAATTATATAATGCTGCCAGCAGGTGGCATCTATTTATTTCACTTGGCATGCTGCTGATATATCTGGACATGATCATGGGTGTTAGAATACTTTTTTTTTTTACGTCATCAGTGTGTTCTTTTCTTCCTCAGTATAAACTGTGACATTGGTTTAGCCAAGAACCTTTGTTCCTTGTCAACGTGAAAAACACGAGGTGAACTAATTTCTTCTGCAGTGATAGCTGAAAAAAAGATCTGTAAAGTTGATCTGGACATTTAGATGTCAGCACACATCTGTGCTTTTCCATTTAGACAACAGTCTGACTAAGTGCTGTGTCATCATGCATGCAATTCGTTTTCTTTAATACACCCCACCAGTTCTTCCAGTGGACCTCTAGAGAGCAGTGGTGAGCTAGCAACACACTGACACCTTCTATGGGTGAGGCTGAGCTCAGACTGGAGAAAGAGGAAGTTCTGTATTATTGGCCAGCCTATTCATGTATAGAAATATTTTCATGGCTTGCTGCACACACAACACCTGCAGCAGGTGCTGTGTTAAGTTGAGGCTAAACAAACATTTGGCAGTCCTTCGTGATCCTCCGACAATGATGAGAACAATACACTGGATCTGAGCTGGAACAAGGCCACCATGTGACTTCTCCCATTTCTAATATAATTTAACGTGTGCTGAGGGTTGAAGGAGGGGGTGACTGCTTGTCTATTTGCCAGCAAGGTATTGTGGGTAAGCAAGCCCAGAGACTGCTGATCAATCACAGGCAAGGGAGCTGTGATGTTAGGTTGCTAGGCAACAGGCAGGGAGAAGCACAGAGCAGCAAAGCACTGGAGGGGTTGCTGGGTGGGGGTTGTCTCAGCTCTTCATCTCTTCTTCCTGTGGGTCCCAGCACAAGATTTTCCTTCTTATACACGTCTGTGTGGATCTTGTATTCAGTAGTACTTGATTCTGCATAATGTGGGGAAGACACTGTTGTGTGGTTGGGAATCACTATACAAGCAATTCACAACAAAAGAGAGGCTATTCATACACCAGAGATTTCAAGTGTTGGATCTTGATTAAGTCTGAATCAAAGCTACAGCTTTGGGGATTTAGACTGCATAAAAACTAGAAAATAAAAGCTTTACCCTAATTAATTTATTTGTTACTTTTAGCTAAAGGTTTAAAGTAACTACCAAAAAATGTATGTAAGAGGTGAATAGAACACATCGATGAAGGAAGCCTATTGATATTAAAGAAGAAGTGAATGATACGATCAACTTCATAATTTTTATGAACTAGCAGTAACCCAGGCTTTCTGAACATCTCTCAAAGTTTTTCTTTGGGTATTTGCTGCTTTTTCACTCATTTTCAGTGCAGTCCTTGTATCTGCCCATCTTTAGAGCAAGCCCTTTTCGTTGCTATGTCACTTAACACTGACCTATGAATAATAGGTTCAAAGTGTGAACCAGTATTCTGTCTACGTATAACTGACAAACCAATTTTAGGCACTTTGTTAAATTTAATAGCAGCCTGTCATGAAAAACATGTAATTTGTTCCAATTTCTTTAGTTGAATCTACAAAAGAAATGCCAGAGATATCACAGTTTTGCACACATAAAATAGCTTTTTTTTGCACCAACAAGGTGATTCTCAAAGAGCTATTTGGCAAAACATTTGGCATAAATCAGAAGGTGTGTGATCCTGATAAAAACTGGGGAAAATGGACAAGTGGAGGACAAAAGAAAAAGTGGCAGGCCTAAAAAAACAAACAGACTATCGACTACACATGAGTATCTAATAGTATCTGAAAGACGTGTCTTAAGTGAACCGGAGCCCAGAGAAGCCTAAGAGAATTCAACCTGTGCTGATAAATAAAGGTTATCAAACTAAATAACCCTTCAAGCTCATTATAACTTGCTTACTTATTTCCAAAAATTGCTGTTTTACTAACCAAATATAAAGAAATGAGTGGTGGCAAACTACCATTGCACAATACTGTATTTAATAAGTGCTTTCTAAGACTTTAAAATGTGAACTGCTATGAGAATATTTTCAAGAGTCCCAGTTGTCTACATTCAACACAGATTACTTAAGCTGAAAACAGATCGTCACCTCAGCAGCAACGTCTCTATTTAAGCCTATTGAATATGCTGAGCCACTTAACTCTTTCCATCTTCATTCTAGCCTCCAAATGAATGTGTCGTGCATGCAAAATATGCTTCCCAAAACAGGTTTTATTTTGAAAATCTAGGTGTTTACTTTTTAGTTGCCACATCTTTGGTTATAACAAAAAAAAAGTCACTTGTCACATTTTGCAAATCGATACAGTCAGGTGTAACATGTACTTGAATCACATGAAAGATCCTGTTAAACCTGTAATGCAATCATACTTCAGGTTCAGATCACAGATCAAAGAGCTGATGGCACACACATATGAGCAAATTTTAGACCCTGAAAGAAAAGACAAGGAAGGAAGTGGAGAAAATAAACGAGCATTTACAAAAAATATGTCCTTTATTCTTTTGGCTTTGAAATTATATTACCATATGAGCGGACAGTAGTCACTTCTGGCATGCAGTTCACTAAAACACTACAAGCGCAATGAAAGATGGCTACTGATTGCTTCATGGTTTGTATCTACAGATATGGGGACCATACATGTGTTTCATCATGTGTTACAGTCATAGACAATAAAAAAGATGGACATAGCTTCCTGGTCAGAAAAAATGAAGCCAATGTGGAAGTGCCTAAAAACTTGTATTCTATCTGAAGGCCACCAGATGACGATAGCTGCGGTTGCAAAAAACACTTCCTGTCCTGTGAAGGGCTCTTTCTTGAGCTCTGTAAACACTTTGTCGCTGAGTTCATTATCTTAGTCGCTCGATTTGGGTAAATAAAAATGAATTAATTTGTAAAACTTGCTCATACCATGTTTCAAAAAACCTCATCAGTTAAATTGTCAATTACCAGTCAGTAGCCAATGAGCAAGCAGTGTCATAGTCAGACCCACCCGTTTGTCATCACATCCAATTTCTTGCAACCAAGGCTGCAACAGTGGAAACGTTCATCTCAAAGCTTCAAATCGCAACTTTGGAAACTGTTGAGTTGATGTCACAGTAGTTACGTCCATCTTTTATATTGTCAAAGGTTACAGTGCAGAATGAAAAAAAAACTCTTCTAGAAAAATGTAAATCAACGTCAAAGACTGGAAAAATGCACTCATATCTACAGTGAAAATGTTATTTATAATCA